TTAAAATATACGACTGATTAATTTTTAATGTTTGTCAGCTCATAAACTTGGTTCATTAATACGGTGATTAAGTTTGTAACTCACAAAAAATCCTCCTAACTAATAAAAAAACAAACAAACAAAAAAACACCTTAATTGGAACAACCTAATAGTTCATTAGTATGTAAAACAAACAAAATCCTAAATAATGTAAAAAAAAATTTAAAATTGTTGGAAGAACTGAATTTTTCACGACTGTGAATAAAATGAAATTAAATCTTCAATTAATTTTTTATTAGTTTGTAACAAAACAAATCTCTTGAATAATTAAAAAACAATCTATGAGCTTAAATTTACTTAAACTTGGGTTCATAGTTATGGTAATTAAGTTTGTAAAACACAAAAAAAAATCTTAACTAATGTGGAAAAACTAATTAAAACAACTTAATTTTAATGAGCATGTAACCCCCCCAAAATGTAGAAATGTAGAAAATAAATGGGAACAACTTCATTTTAATGAGTTTGTAACACCCACAATTATCTGACATAATCTGGAAAAACTAGTTGAAACAACTTAATATTAATGAGTTTGTAGCACACAAAAATAATCTTAAATGATGTGAAAGGACGAGTTGGAAGAACTTATTTTTAATGAGCATGTAACACAAAATAAACCTAAATAATGTGTGAGAAAAAAAAATGTTGGAAGAACTCAAGTTTTCATGAGTATCTAACACAAAAACATTCTCCCAGATTCAAGTAGAAAAACTAGTTGAAACAACTTAATTTTAAGTTGTTTCAACTAGTGTGTCTGATTTTATTTGTTGTTTTATTTATTTGTGACATACAAATAAACTTAAATAATGTGAAAAAACTAATTGAAACAATTTAATTTTAATGAGCACGTAGCACACAAAAATTAGTCTTAAATGACAGACAGATTAAACCTTTATTGATCCCGCCGCGGGGATATTTTAAGTGAAAGGATTATTGGAAACAAGCTAATTTGTTTTTTTGAGTTTGTAACAAACAAATCTCCTGAACAATGTGAACGGACCAGTTATAAGAACCTGATGTTTCTTGTGACCAGCTTGTGCTGCGGCTCATTAAGCTGTAATTAAAACACAGTTGATTGAAGAGGAAGTTTGTTGGTTGAACTTCATTCTGTCAGAAGTCGTCTCAAGTTAAAGCGACTGATTCAAACCGTTCATCGTTAATTTGTTGTTATTTGATCTTGTTAATTGGCTAAAGCTACGTGATGCTAGCAGCCTGCGGCTAACGCTAGCTCTGCTGGCGCCGGATGAGCCGGATCCGTCCCAGTTTCGGTATTTGGCGCGTCGCTCTTGGGCCCGCTGAGCCTCGGCACAGCTGACGGGGAACCGATCGGGTCTCTGGGGGAGGATGACATAATCCTTTTGTTCAGAACCGATGTGAATATGTCGGGGATAGAGGAGGGGATTAAAGACCATCAGACAAATAGCAAATAAGCTCTTCCCTCCGATTACCGTTAAAGCTCAGCAGAACCGGCTCTCGGCTCGGTAGCTGCAGCGACCGGCGTGGAGGTTCATGTTGCCCCAGACGTGTTGCAGCAACGTCGCTGACTCATGGTTTCAGGTTGCTGCAACGTTCTGAGACACAGTGATGGCCTGAAGTCATTCTGGACGGTTTTGTTCATTTAGACCAACTTT